TTGAAGACGCTGGACATCCTCTTGCAAAACGTGAGGATGTCCAACATCATTTCATGGAGTTAAACTCTGTAAAAGTACAGGAAGCGCCTTTAGTGGCTGTCTCAATTTCTCAATCCTGCAGGACGTTCAGGTTTGGCGGAGAGAGAGACTCCCAAGCCAAGAGCAGCGGTTACAGGGACAAGCGGCTCTGCGGATGCTTCTCCTGGGAGAGCAGACTCTAGAGCAAGCATGTCAAACTCAAAGTCTAGCACGGGCTACATAAACAAGATTTAAGTTTATGTGGGCCGCAAAAATAAAAACAACATACATTTTCATAGAAACGTAGTTTTTTTTGAAAAGTACAGTATGAAAAAAAAAAACAGCATCCCCCTCTACTAAACCACAGCACCCCCCTCTACTAAATTCCAGCTCCCTCCCATATACTTAATCCCAGTTCCCCAATTTATTAAAACCCAGTACCCCCCTCTAGCCAACAAGCAGACTCACATTGCCGCTGCCAGTATGCGACTCCGCAGTCTAGCCTCTGGTATACCCAAAATGGCGCAGTCCGCAGCTTGTGCCAAGTCTGATCCTCCCGCTACTTCTTGAAACCCTGTGAAGGTGGAGCACGTCGATGTCACGTCGGAATGTGACGTGGCGTTGCATGCCTCCATGCACCTCCAGGTACTCCACTGTTCAGTTGCAGCCAATGTAACACTGACCAACACACACACACTCACTGACAGACACACACACATACACACAGAAAGACAGACACAAACAGACTGAAACACACAGACACACACACACTCACTGACAGACTGACACACACAGACAAACATAAACATACACAGACAGACACACTCACTGTCAGACACATAGACACTCACTGATAGACACATACACACAGACACATACACTCACTGACACACACACACTCACTAACAGACACACACACTCACTGACAGACACACACAGACACTGACAGACACACAACACACACACACACACTCACATACAGACGGACACACACACACGCGCACGCATTGGAGCAGTGAGGAGCAGGAACACTGAGCTCCCTCGCTGGCCCTACTCCCCGGCCGCTGGTTTAGCAGAGTAGGCACCTGCAATGTGGGGAAAGCAGGTGCCTACTCTGCTATAACACTACGCATGTTCTCGAGGCTCGCTGGGCCGCAAAGATGTCTGCTGTGGGCCGCATGCGGCCTGTGTGCTGCGAGTTTGACATGCTTGCTCTAGAGGAATGGGTGATGGAACTGGAAGACCTGGTCTGGAAGGAGCTGTGGCTGGATGAGGCGCTAGAGTGGTACGCAGCCTGGTGTGACCAGTGGATGGATGAAGATAGTGTGCCAGAGGGTAAGGACTATAATGGCCCTGACCTGTTGTAAGAGGCCTTTGAGGAGGGCATTGCTTTTGGAAGTCCGGCAGCGTTTTGGCTTTGGGACATCCACAGAACTAGGGAAGTCCTGATGGATCTTCATGGAGCTGCCAACCTAGGGCCAGACCTGATCCATCTGGCCATCCTGGAATGGGAGCTGGAGCAGGATTACCAACGGCTGTTCAGCTAAGTTCAGCAGTGGTGTATCCTGCAGGGATAGGAGAAAAACGATCCCTTTCCCCAACCACAGCTGGAGTTACAGTGAGTGGAGACAACCAGTCTCACTCCCCAGCGTCAGTGTATCCTGCAGGGAATAGAGACAACCGGTCTCACTCCCCAGTGGCAGTGTAGCCTGCAGGGAGTGAAGACAACCGGTCTCACTCCCCAGCGGTAGTGTACCCTGCAGGGAGAGGAGACAACCGGTCCCTCTCCCCAACCACAGTCGGGGTTACTGGTAGTGGAAACAACCGGTCTCACTCCCCAGCAGCAGTGTACCTTGCAGGGAGTGGAGACAACCGGTCTCACACCCCAGCGGCAGTGTATTCTGCTAGAGTTACAGGGAGTGGAGACAACTGGTCTCTACCCCAGCGGCAGTGTACCCTGCAGGGAGAGGAGACAACCGGTCTCACACCTCAGCGGCAGTGTATCCTGCAGAGAGAGGAGACAACTGATCTCACTTCCCAGCAGCAGCAGGCATCTCTGGGAGTGGAGACAATCGGTCTTACTCCCCAGTGGCAGTGTCCCCTACAGAGAGTGGAGACAACCGATCTCACTCCCCAGTGGCAGGAGATACCAGGGATGATGGATACTACACCCACAACAAAGTGGACCTACCAGGATAGAACATGGCACAGGAGGCTACCAGGTTAGCTAGTTGTTTTTGGTTGGCTTCTCGACTTACTTAGGTACAGACCGGCAGGAGGTCTGGTACCTGGTTAGTCTTCCCTTGGGGAGGGGGGGAGATGTGTGGCAAAGATGCCTCTGCCACAAGCTCCTGGAGGAACTTGCTGGCTAGCCTCCTGTCCAAGGACTATGGGCCATGTAACAGACTTTTAAAAGACTTGGTTCGTGTGGTTTCCCTTTTTAGTTTGGGAACCGAACAACCACACAAATTGCAGATCATCTTTGGGCTAGTTAACTGTTATTGACCTCTCCTGACAACTCAACATTCTAAATGTTCGGCTGGGTGGCCGCCATTCGTATGCATGAACATGTGGGAACTGATTTGGTGGCCGTCTTGTTGCATGAACGCAGGCAGCAGTGTTTGGTCATCGAGTGCATGGAACTAAAATCGGACACTCTAACTCGCGAACATCGCTGAACTTTGACAAACGTCTGCTTCTTTTCTACTAATGTCAGTAGACCGCAGTTCGGTAAGATTGTTCGGTAAGACCACTACCACTTTTCTTATGGAACTATTTTGAGCAGAAGCCATGTATGCGTTCGCTCAAAAGTTTACTTCCATGGAAAATCCAAACCACCAAACCGATCTGAGTGCTTTTTGGATATGATAGGCACTTAGATCAGGGCTATCCAGGGATGTGACTCTTGAGGGGATTCCATAAATTTTTGGGAAACTAAAATTATTGTATTTTCCTGTACCTGGAGATAATTGGATTTGTACAGTTCCTGACTCAATTATCTATCAGGCACAGGAGAGGAGTTTACTGTGTGTATAAATTGAGAGTGCTTGCCTGCATTAAATAGATCTACTCCCAGCATTCAATCTCGACTAATGTGTGGGGAGAAAGGCGATACAAGCGATATTCTATGTAGGAGAGCTTTGACCACTGGGAGCTGGATCCATGACCCTTGGTCCAGGGTGGGAAGTAACGGCGAGACCCAAGCCAAACTGCGGCAGCTAGATGCTGAAGTGCTGTTGGTGATCCAGCAATAGCTAGGAAGTGTTTTTGGCAGGGGTACCAAGTTGGGGTCAGGTGGTCCACCACACTGTTGTTAAAAACCTAGTGACGAATCCAAGGGGGATCACCAGACCAAAAGCTCCTCCTTAGAAACCAGGGAAATTGATGACTAATTGAGATGTCACCCACACTCTGTCCCCAAACACCCACATCAGAGTTATTAAGAAAAAATTGCAAGGCCCTATAGCCGGCAAGCCTTTTACACACACAGAGGATAGAGGACATTTAATTGATTTGAAAGGCTGGAAGCACCATGCCATGTCCGTGCCATTGCAGAAACTGCATGCCTGAACATGTGTAGATATTTACCAATGAACATATGTTTGAAGGTTTGTTTGTCTGTGTTTGTGTGGATGATTGTGTCTACCTTTTAGAATCTGTCACAAAATACAAAGTTTGGGCTTTGGAGCCACCTCAGCAAAGACTGGCAACATCCTGGCAGAGCCACCAACTGGTATTGGTTCATCAAAGGGACCATGTGTTCTGTGTTTTAGATTTCACTGTACTGGTGTATATACATTTCTTTCCCAGAACTCTATGCACAAAGGTTTATCCCAAATACCCAGGCATTCTGTAAAAATGTATAGTGGCTTTGAGATCAGAAGGAGCAAAACTCTTAATTAATTCACTGCGGTATGAGGAGCAGAGCGACAAAGTTCATACATATAGAATAATTTTAAAAAAATAATGTCAGTATGCATGTGATAGTATTTTAATTTTATATATTTCAGAGACAACCTCCATTTCGGTCTTGTAGAACAATGCTCAAAGGTACATAATGTCTGCCACTCCTGCTGGAGACTGACAGGTCATGATGGGAATATTTGGTCACTTTAGTAGCCTGTCCTCGGTGCAGAACATATGACCCTGACAAAGTTGCAGTTGAATACATTTTGTTCTGAAAGCACTTAAATAGATTTTTTTTTTTTAATATAACAATAGTTTATTCAGTAGCTCATAGTATCCATTTCTTTCTCCTACTGATACATTAAAAAGCCAATGGGTATGATGAAATCCATATATATTGGATTAATCAGTGGATCTTTTCCTACATTTTCCAAAAAGTGTGTCATGCCACAGATCTCATCTTCATATTTATAATTTAAATGAATGAAGAAATCTGGATGAATCATTCTGTATTCTGAATTAATTGTTTGAGAATAGTGATAGCACTGTGTGAGCATCAGCCACTGCACCTGTTACTGCTACCTGCAAGGCAAGTATCCCAGCATTCTTCTAATGTTATTTTCTGTTTGTTATTAAAATCTATAATGTAGGTTTTACTGTATGTTATGTATGAATGGAATCTGGCAGCTTTTGATATTATGATTTCTTTTCAGAGTCAGGAGAATAGGGAGCCCATATCACATAGAAACCCAGTGGGAAAGGAAAAGCTGGATTGGATACTAAATATGGCATGCTTTCAGGTGAGTGAAATGTAAACACAATTGTTTGGGCTCTCAAACATTATCTAAAGCATGAGACTGGCAGGGTTTTTCACTAGCGTGAAAATTGCTGAAGTGGAAACATAGCTGACTTGGAGAAGGCTTATTGTTCGACTATTTTGATTTAAAGTTTGAAATTCACTTTTCAATTTCAACAATTCACATTTACATGGTTATTTAATAAAGTAAAGAGAATTGTTAGGAATTAAACGTGGATTTCACATTTTAGACCAAAATAGCCCGATTGGAAACATGGGCATGTTAGTAAGTATACGTGTTAATGAATAACCATGTCACATTAAGGATAACAAAGCAGAATTGCAAGAAATGTGAAATAAATGTGGAATATAACCCTGTTTAACAATTATATGTTGATATGGGTCTTCACTCCAGATGTTATGGACCACATCTCCCATAATGCTCTTACAACCATAAAGCTGGCAATGTATTGTGGGGATATGGTACGCAACATCCGGAGTGCCCTGCTAAATATATTGGTTTCTGTTATGTGAAGTTTTGAAGGTTAAAAAGCCTTTGCATATAGATTAGTAATCTTACCAGTGAAGCACATGTTTGCATGCTTCCTTTTTAAGGTTACCTGTTTCTAACAACTGCTAGAATTTTCAAACAGCTAGCAATTTTGGGAAATTGGGTGTCTCTCTGGAAATGCCTTAAGATAATTGAATTTTTTCATTCTTGATTTTTTCCACCTACTTCCAATACTGTGAGAACTTCTGGGAATTCAAAGGGAATTTCAATATCTATGCAAAATTTGAAATATTCTTCAAGTCAATTCTGTTCTCAGTTTGGCTATTTTGGACTTAATTTTGAAATTGACTTTGAATTCCTGGAAACTCTTATTTAGTAAATATTCCTGTCACTGTTCAGTGTGGCAACAGAGCATGGTTTACTAAATACGGCTCCTATCATCAGGGTAGGGGCTGGTTGTTTCAATGCATTTTTTGGGAACTGATGCCTATTGCATTTATTGCACCTATACCCCTGAATCATGTATACATATATAGTGCAAATTACATTTGTTTACGGCAAACAGATTTAATTTGCAACTTATGCCAAGTTTACAATTAGAGAGCGCATAGCGCAGAAACACAGGGAGCCGCGATGCTGTTTGCCTCTGAATGCTGAATACAGGTTTCTGTATACAGCTCTGTGCCTGCTTCACCACCCTTTATTTGAACGTTTCCCTTTAATTTATATCTCCATCCCTGCAATGTACTTGCCTCACAATTTACTTACTTCATGCCCCCCTTCTTTTCATGTCTGCTCCATTAAGGCAGAGGATGAGCCAGTAAGTGAAGAGATAAAAAATCGAGTGCTGCTGCAGCTGTTCTGCTGTGATGGGCTTTCCCTCTCACTATACCATAAATACGTGTATCAGTGAGCGTTTGTATATATGTTTCTTAACGAGTGCATCTAATGTTGCAGCCTGTGGGGTATCTGTGAATGTGTGCCTGCCTGTGTTGGTGTGTTTGTATGAGAGTGCCTATGAGTGTGCGCTTCTGTCTGGAATTGAGTGTCTCCCACTATGTGTATGTCTAGAAATGTGTGATTCTAAAGATGTATATAGTGTTTGTGAGTGCATGTCTGTGAGGAGAAAAAAGGGATTGCTAATTCAAAGAGTATCTCACATATAACTCCTGATCAGAGCCATGATTAGTGATTAGTCCTAATCAGTGCTCTGACACTGTCTGGCACTGTCTTGGGAATAATATTTACAAAGGAAGCATTGCAGTTAGAAGTATCAGCATGTATCCAGGCACTAAACACAGAGTGATGGTCTATCTCTGTATAGTGAAACCATCTCTCAATGTTTAGTGCCTAGATTTCCAATCTCAGAACTGCTTGCTAATAGTCCTACTCTACAAGCACAGCGTTGTATACAGGGAACGAACCTGTGTTTGTGTCTGTTAGTGTCTGTGTGTATATGTGTGCGTGTGGCATGGTCATGGTGATGCAGAAACATATACATATATATGGGAATATGAGTTATGTAACAACACATACTGGAAATATATAGGACCAAAATGAAAATATTATTGGAATATGTTAATTTTAAATATGCAGAAACATTATTTCGTTACAATACTGTTTTTATCTCTAACTTCACATTCCAGGACACCAAAATTAATTGGATTCTACAGCTGTTATTTTTTAAACCGCTTGTTAGTGAAAGGATTAAAAGACCGAAAAGGGTTTTCTTCTAATATCCTGTACAGGGAGTGCAGAATTATTAGGCAAGTTGTATTTTTGAGGATTAATTTTATTATTGAACAACAACCATGTTCTCAATGAACCCAAAAAACTCATTAATATCAAAGCTGAATATTTTTGGAAGTAGTTTTTAGTTTGTTTTTAGTTTTAGCTATGTTAGGGGGATATCTGTGTGTGCAGGTGACTATTACTGTGCATAATTATTAGGCAACTTAACAAAAAACAAATATATACCCATTTCAATTATTTATTATTACCAGTGAAACCAATATAACATCTCAACATTCACAAATATACATTTCTGACATTCAAAAACAAAACAAAAACAAATCAGTGACCAATATAGCCACCTTTCTTTGCAAGGACACTCAAAAGCCTGCCATCCATGGATTCTGTCAGTGTTTTGATCTGTTCACCATCAACATTGCGTGCAGCAGCAACCACAGCCTCCCAGACACTGTTCAGAGAGGTGTACTGTTTTCCCTCCTTGTAAATCTCACATTTGATGATGGACCACAGGTTCTCAATGGGGTTCAGATCAGGTGAACAAGGAGGCCATGTCATTAGATTTTCTTCTTTTATACCCTTTCTTGCCAGCCACGCTGTGGAGTACTTGGACGCGTGTGATGGAGCATTGTCCTGCATGAAAATCATGTTTTTCTTGAAGGATGCAGACTTCTTCCTGTACCACTGCTTGAAGAAGGTGTCTTCCAGGAACTGGCAGTAGGACTGGGAGTTGAGCTTGACTCCATCCTCAACCCGAAAAGGCCCACAAGCTCATCTTTGATGATACCAGCCCAAACCAGTACTCCACCTCCACCTTGCTGGCGTCTGAGTCGGACTGGAGCTCTCTGCCCTTTACCAATCCAGCCACGGGCCCATCCATCTGGCCCATCAAGACTCACTCTCATTTCATCAGTCCATAAAACCTTAGAAAAATCAGTCTTGAGATATTTCTTGGCCCAGTCTTGACGTTTCAGCTTGTGTGTCTTGTTCAGTGGTGGTCGTCTTTCAGCCTTTCTTACCTTGGCCATGTCTCTGAGTATTGCACACCTTGTGCTTTTGGGCACTCCAGTGATGTTGCAGCTCTGAAATATGGCCAAACTGGTGGCAAGTGGCATCGTGGCAGCTGCACGCTTGACTTTTCTCAGTTCATGGGCAGTTATTTTGCGCCTTGGTTTTTCCACACGCTTCTTGCGACCCTGTTGACTATTTTGAATGAAACGCTTGATTGTTCGATGATCACGCTTCAGAAACTTTGCAATTTTAAGAGTGCTGCATCCCTCTGCAAGATATCTCACTATTTTTGACTTTTCTGAGCCTGTCAAGTCCTTCTTTTGACCCATTTTGCCAAAGGAAAGGAAGTTGCCTAATAATTATGCACACCTGATATAGGGTGTTGATGTCATTAGACCACACCCCTTCTCATTACAGAGATGCACATCACCTAATATGCTTAATTGGTAGTAGGCTTTTGAGCCTATACAGCTTGGAGTAAGACAACATGCATAAAGAGGATGATGTGGTCAAAATACTCATTTGCCTAATAATTCTGCACTCCTTGTATGTATACTTAATACAACATTAAAGAAACACTATAGCATTAGTAATATAGTAATATGTACACTGTTTAGGTGACCAGGTCCTTGCCAGGGTTAAAAAAATTCATTTTTTGAAATATTTTTGCTTACTAAAAGAACTCAAAATAGATTTATTTATATATCAGTCCTGATTGTTAAATGCCTTACATGTTTATGCTCTAAATTAACTTTTGGTAGTTAAAGTTAACCCTAAACCATTACTCCCTCAATTTTCTTTTACCAACCCTAACCCTATGCTTACACATACATTAACCATATATCTACCCTAACCGTAACGCTACAATATCCATACGCTAAAACATCATTAGCCCTAACCCAGCACTAACCCTCACAGTAACACTAATCCTACACTATCTCTAACCTTTCAACTCACCCTAACTCTAAGGAAACCCACTGCTAATTTCAGTAATATCAGCAGATTGGTTTCCAAGTTAAAACAGTAGAGAACAGTCTGTGACTGCCATCTTCTGGCTGTTTTTAGAAATACGGGCTTTACTTGTTATACTAAAATCTAACATGCTTTTCCAGCTGGTAATACTGAGATAAATGCGAGGCAGCTGGTAAAGTACAGCACCGATCACAATCAGAATGAGGGCATCTGCCAGCGAAGAGTCAATTAATGTAAAAGGCTGTATGCAGTGCTCATTTAGAGCGCTGCATACAGCTTATCAGTCAGGTGACAGAGGGCTTTAACTCTGCTCACACCATGTTGCAGAAAAGGGAATTCATTCTTAATTTAAAAAGCTGTATGCAGTGCTCACTTTGAGCATGGTATAAATCCCAAAATACGGCCCAGCTGACAGAGCAGGAATTTAACCTGCTTACACCAAAAAAGTTAGGATGATCCATAAATAGTGTTAAAGCTCACTCTGTGGAAGACAGCATGGAAGATCCTAACATCATGAAGTGTTTAATATAAATAAAAATTGAAATAGTAGAATGAGTTTGGAGAGCTCCACTTCTTCAATCAGCTGCTCTTAACTATACCTATAAACACATACACCCACACTAACACATTTACACAGATACACTTAGTCTCTTTCTTATGGCAGCACAAGTACACACGTCACACTGGCTGGAGATTTATGGGAGTCATGGTTGCAGGCAGCATCCAATATTTACAGCTACCATAACTACTTGATTTGCTCTCTCCTTATTATAATGATGGAACTGGTGCTGGCAAAATAAATCAGACAGGTTTTTTCAGTAAGATCTAAATGGACTCTCAATTCAGACTACAAATTTCAGACATTGTTTACAGTATTTAACAATGTTTGGATTTATTGCTTCAAAACGCACCAGAAGTGTGTATAGATTTCAGTCTGAATGAATGCTGTTGGATGGCAGAAATCTGGGATTGGTTGGCAGAGGCTGCTCAATGTTTCTGCCATTTAAATAAATTAGCAACTGGGCAGCTATTGACAATTCAGCAGTGCAGGAGGAAAACTGACATATGATGTCTGATTGCAGGCCAACACACAATGTGCTGATAGGGTACCTGTCATGAAATATTTAGCTCAAGCTCTTTTTTAAAGACTATAAAATCCTATCTATACATTGTTTTAACACATTTGCTAGCAAATATATACATGTAAAAAGAGCTCTTTCTCCCACTTGTGCGTCAATTCGCCGCCATAAACTATGTGCCAAAGAAATAAATGACAAGAAGAGCAGATGAGACCTCCCACAACTGGTCCTTCTGCTCGACAAACATAACAACCACAGCACATTCACAATGGTTGGTATGGCAACTCCCTGCTAGCGCTGGCTAAGTGTGTGTAAGCATGGCTAAGAGTGTCGACATCACAGAAGAGTTTAGGAGCCAAGTTGAAGAAGACAGCAGATAGAGTGAAGGTGGATGTTACAGTAGAGTAACACCCAGAAGAGTGACCAGACCACATGGCAGTGTTGGAGTGGAGGTGAGTTTATTGCTATATATATTACACTGAATGATATGAGGACAAAACAAAACAGAATATAGTGTAATATGAGATTGATAATCCTCGCCTGTGGATATACATATAAATTACACTGTATATATCATATATCTCTGTGAAATATGATGTGTTCAATGCATTTCGGGAAGATGTTTTATTAACGTGAGCATGTCATGACCGGTAATTCCAGGTTCCCTTTCAAAATACTTTCTTTTGGGATAGCTCACAGTATTTACAGAGAACACTATTTCTTTCTCAAGATATAAAGTGCAACACTGAAAGTAATGGTGTGACATACACAAAATGTTATATAATATTGCACATGCACAATACACACATTATATTTCCTGTTTTTAGTCACTAGGTAAACCTTCAAGACAGAGATAATTTTCTTATGCTATCAATTGTGCAAGGCAAGTCTAGCTCCCAGGCTTTCTCAAATACCCCATACATTTAGTTTACACTGCAACAGGGAATTATGAATATTAGTTTTGGGAATCAAAATTGCTATCCCTAGCTTACTTCCAGTGACATTCTAAGAGCACAGTGGGTCTGTGAGGTTTATAATTTGTGATATTGCAAAATCAAAAAAGTTATTTATTTTTTATGTGTAATATATGTACATTGATGGGATGATTAATGGGGAAAAAATATGACTGACAGATATGTACATTACTGCTTGTTTCTTTATTTTTTAGAGGGAATGCATCTCTGTCCATATTGGCCAGGCTGGTGTGCAGATGGGCAATGCCTGCTGGGAGTTGTACTGTTTAGAACACGGGATCCATCCCACTGGTATTGCAGCTGATGAGAGGAGCTATACAATGGATTCATCATTTGGGACTTTCTTCAGTGAGACTTCTAAAGGGAAATGTGTACCTCGAGCAGTGTTTGTTGACCTGGAGGAAACTGTTATTGGTAATGTAAATACATTTATTTATTTATTTTATATGATGCACATTTATGTATAGTAAAGTGATAGAGGTTACTTCATAAAATGTATTGAGCAGATCTTTTGTTTTATTATCAGAATCACAGCTATACAATCAACTTTTAAAAATGCAATAAAACCCCCCCCCAAAAAAACAACCCTTAGGTCCCAATATGTGAAAATTATTTCCAGGGACACTTTGTGGAAAATACGGACAAAAATGTATATAGACACAAGCACACACATAAAAACTCAAAGAGATACACACAGTAACACACTAGGCATACATGCACTGACACACACACACTCAAAAATACACCTTCTTTTCCACTCACACTGACACACACAATGACACATGTACACAGATATATACAGTGACAAACTGACACACACAGACACACACATTGCCATACACACAGACCCACACTGACAAGTCCGCCTCCACTTTTGCTCAGTGCGTGATCTGAGTAGGAGCTTTCACTCCTCACTGGGTCCTCACTGGAGTAGTGCCTGGTGGACCCCAGGTAAGAAGTCAATCCATTCTAAAACATTTTGTCTCCCTTCAATGGGGTGCACCAGGGCACTTCTGACCAGGGACGTATTAGCCGCGAGGCAAACAAGGCATTTGCCTTGGGCGGCATTTTTCAGGGGGCGGCAAAAAACGCCGCCCCCCAAATGCCCAGGGCAGATGCCTTGTTAGCCTTGCGGCTAACTGACATCCCGAGCGGGCGGGCCGGCGGCCGGCGAGGGAGCACTTCCCATGAGCTGACTGCTCAGCTCCCTCGCGCACCGCAAAGTGAGGCTGGGAGCCGGAAGATGACGTCATATTCCGGCTCCCAGCCTCACTCTGCAGCCGGCGCGCGAGGGAGCTGAGCAGTCAGCTCATGGGAAGTGCTCCCTCGCCGGCCGCCCACCTGCCAGCGCCGCCCGCCCTGCAGCCACTGGACCACCAGGGAGAGAGACCCCCCCCCCAAGCACTCCCAAAGGTAAGGAGGTTGGGGGGGGATTTAAATTTAAAAAAGTTAGTGTGTGTGTTTGTGTGTGTGTGTGTGTGTGTGTGTTTGTGTCTGACTGTGTGTGTGTGTGTGTTTGTGTCTGACTGTGTGTGTTTGTGAGTGTGTGTGTTTGTGAGTGTGTGTGTGTGTTTGTGTCTGACTGTGTTTGTGTCTGTGTATGTGTCTGACTGTGTGTGTGTGTGTGTGTATGTGACTGTGTGTCTGTGTGTGTTTGTGTGTGTGTGTGTTGTCTGATGTGTGTGTTTGTGTGTGTTTGTGTCTGACTGTGTGTGTATGTGTGTGTGTGTGTGTGTGTCTGACTGTGTGTGTCTGTGTTTGTGTCTGACTGTGTGTGTGTGTGTATGTGTCTGACTGTGTGTGTGTTTGTGTATGTGTCTGACTGTGTGTGTGTGTGTGTATTTAGAAGGTGGGGCGGGGGTAAGGGTTGGGTGGGGGTGGCGCGGGGGGGAGGGCGGGCGCCTGAGTTTTGTCCTGCCTAGGGCAGCACAAAACCAGGATACACCACTGCTTCTGACATCATAATAGCTGCAACCCTGACTGGTACATGTTCATGAGATGAGGGGTTAAAAACATCATGTATTCCACAAGAGCATTGCAATCTCACAAGAGTTGACCCTCACCTGCCTCACCCAATGCACAGTGGGTAGTTAAGAGGAAAATAAAAGATTAAGCAAGTGTTTCTAGAATTTCAATCCGCGGAGATAAAACTCTAAGATTTCAGGCTGTAAACAGCTCTTTAGGGACAAGAGTAGTAGAAGCTGCAGTCCACGTGATCCGTTACTTCTTTCCACTTGACATGTCAAAGTAAAACTATTAATCTCACCTATCTTGTAGATGAAATAAAAATTGGGAAATATCGCTCACTTTTTCATCCGGAGCAACTGATCACTGGAAAAGAAGATGCAGCAAATAACTATGCTCGTGGTCACTATACCATTGGAAAGGAGATTGTTGACTCTGTGTTGGACATGATTCGTAAACAAGTGAGTAGTGCATGTTTTAAAGATGTGAGATAGTAAGTAAAAGAAAACTCTCACTTACCAGGATTTTTTATATTTACTTGTCTTCCATAATTAACAGATATGTATGTGTGGCAAAATGTATTTGTGAAAAATATATTTAGGAATCCATACCTCTTTATATATCTGGTTGCCTCCATCTTAGCTCCCTGTCAATGATTGTTACAGTGGCTGAAGATGGCATGGGTGTACACAGCCCAACCCCTCTATTGACAGACCAGGCACTTGTCTACCTGCACAATATATTTGTGCATTCTGTTTCAAATAATTTGTCCAAATTTTGGGCGATTGGTTGTTCTTACAAATTCCGTAACTTTGAAGGAACACTATAGTCACCAAAACAATTTTAGCTTAATAAAGTAGTTTTAGTGTATAGATCAGTGTATATTCACTGCTCAATTCTCTGCCATTTAGAAGTTAAATCCCTTTTATTTCTGTTTACGTAACCATAGCCACACCTCCCTTGGCTTTGAGTGACACAGACTGCATGAAAATAAAATGGTTTAATTTTCACCCCTATGTAAATTACTTTAAAAATTTTTATCTCCTGCTCTGTAAGTGGAACTTTAGTTCTATACAAAATAATTGGTAATTTAATATTAGTGCTCTCACTCAAGTCACTTAGAAATTACAGAAATATCATGTGTTAGAGAATCTCATCTTAGACAAAAAATGAGCTTATTGAAGCAAATTTTAGGTCCTTTAAAAAAAAAATAAGCTAAAAACTGTGGAATTGGGATAGGTGAAAAAGATAAACAAAGAATGAGCATGACAGAGATGTATTTAACCCCTTAAGGACCGAGGACGGTTCAGGACCGTCATCGGCATTTTTGCGTTGCCGACCGATGACGGTCCTGAACCGTCCTAACGGTCCTATTTACTTACCTGATCTCCGTCGTTCCCCCGGCGGCGATCAGCGTGGCTCCGGTTGTGGGGAGACTGCCTGCAGCCCAGACAGTCTCCCCACACTGATTTAGGACCCCTGTGGCCATGTGATCGCTTAACACAGCAATCACATGGTCACAATAGGTGTCCATAGTGCTGCCTGCAGGGGGACTGTCTGTGCTGACAGGCAGTCTCCCTGCATGTGTAAAATCAAAAAATAAATTAAAGTTAGTGTTAATAAAAAAAATAAAAATAATTATATATGTGTATATATGATATATAGACATATATTATAACTATATAATATATGTCTATATATCATATATATATAATGTCATACTAAGTGTATTTTTATATTAATATGTACTTATATTAATATAAAAATACACTTATAATTAAATTACACACGTATATATATAATATATATAATAACTATATATATTGTATATATATATTATTATAAAATATAAATAATAAGTAATTTAAATTAAATAAAAATTTTTAAATAATAATAAAAAATTAAAAAAAAATTATATAGCTATATGAAATTTTATTCTAACTGTATTTTAAAATTAATATATATATATTTATATCAAAATACACTTAGAATGAATTTGTATATATATCTATGTATATAAAAATAAATAAAAATAATAAGAAATATACATACGTCCATATACAAAATTACATAAATAATTATATAAATATACACGTAGACTTCAAATATATAAATGTGCATATATATTTAAATTCTACGTGCGTATTTATGTAATATTTTTACATAATTCAGTAATTTTATTGATTGCAATTTGAGGGACCTGCCTGCCAACCCAGGCCGAAATTCCAGAGAATTTAATTTGCTAACACTGTATTTTACCCTGTAACGTTCTATGACACCCTAAAACCTGTACATGGGGGGTACTGTTTTACTCGGGAGACTTCGCTGAACACAAATATTAGTGATTCAAAACAGTAAAACATATCACAGCGATGATATTGTCAGTGAAAGTTACTTTTTTTTGCATTTTTCACACACAAACAGCAGTTTTACTGATGATATAATTGTTGTGATACGTTTTCCAGTTTTTAAACACTAATATTTGTGTTCAGCGATGTCTCCTGAGTAAAACAGTACCCCCCATGTACAGGTTTTATAGCATTTTTGAAAGTTACAAGGTCAAATATTTTTACATTGAAAATGGCCAGGTTGGTTACGTTGCCTTTGAGAGCGTATGGTAGCCCAGGAATGAGAATTACCCCCATGATGGCATACCATTTGCAAAAGAAGACAACCCAAGGTATTGCAAATGGGGTATGTCCAGTCTTTTTAGTAACCACTTGGTCACAAACACTGGCCAAAATTAGCGTTCAATTTAGTTTTTTTACTTTTTTCACACACAAACAAATATGAATGCTTACTTTGGCCAGTGTTTTCGACTAAGTGGCTACTAAAAAAGACTGGACATACCCCATATTGAATACCCTGGGTTGTCTACTTTAAAAAAAATATGTACATGTGGGTGTTATTCAGAGATTTATGACAGATAATAGTGTTACAATGTCACTATTGATAAATTTTAAAAATGTATGTTTTGAAACCGCAATATCCTACTTGTACCTATAGCCCCATAACATGCAAAAAAAAGCAAAAAAGCACGTAAACACTAGGTATTTTTAAACTCAGGACAAAATTTTGAATCTATTTAGCAGTTTTTTTCATTCGCTTTTGTAGATGAGTAAAAGATTTTTCAAGTAAAAGTCAAAAAACATGTTTTTTTTTCAATTTTTCATCAGATTTTTGTATTTTTTTTAAATTAAAATACAAGAGATTATATAAATAATGGTATGTAAAGAAAGCCCCTTTTGTCCTGAAAAAAACAATATATAATTTGTATGGGAACAGTAAATGAGAAAGTGGAAAATTACAGCCAAACACAAACACCACAAAAGTGTAAAAATATGCCTGGTCGCAAATGTACAACATCGCAAAAACAGTCCAGTCCTTAAGGGGTTAAGATAGGCTTTGAAACCACAAAATGTCAAAGCAACTAGGTTATTATCATTTGAATAGGGGACTAATGTTCATAAAGGTTGGGTTATCAGTAATTGTAAGCTTAAGAAAGGAAATTAATGAAGGATACATTTTGAGACACAGTTTCCAACAGTGTAGGGTCAGAGAAGTGAGAATGATCTTTCAAATGAGCTCAGTGCTTTCCAGGAAAATATCAACAGTATGTTAGCGTTCCTGTGCAGGTGATATCTACAATTCATGTGATGTTTAAGAGGATCAGTGTACATAAGTTGCAAGTAATGTGTAGAATGTAGAATTCAGGAAGTCCCATGTATCAAAACAGTAATTTTATGAGCTGATATTTTACAAAATAGATTATATTGTCAGACTATATGTGCAAATACAAATTATATAACTGTAAAATCTGTACCTGTTAATGTATCTTGTAGATCTACTGTTCTTTAACATTTTTGCCCCTTAAAAACGTAACTACATGTTTTGTATTGTCCACATATTACACTGTTTCAGGCAATTTACTAATAAAACAAACCTCTGTTGCTTATTTGTATTTTTAGGCTGATCAATGTTATGGTCTTCAAGGATTTCTCGTCTTCCATAGTTTTGGAGGTGGTACAGGTTCAGGATTCACATCACTGCTGATGGAGCGTCTTTCTGTTGACTATGGCAAGAAGTCCAAACTTGAGTTCTCGGTCTATCCTGCTCCAAGGATCTCCACTGCTGTGGTTGAACCTTATAATTCCATCCTTACAACACACACAACTCTAGAACATTCAGACTGTGCATTTATGGTGGATAATGAGGCAATTTATGATATCTGCAAATGTAACTTGGACATTGAGCGTCCTTCTTATACCAATCTGAACAGATTAATAGGTCAAATAGTTTCTTCAATTACAGCCTCACTAAGGTTTGATGGTGCACTGAATGTGGATCTAACAGAGTTCCAAACCAACCTGGTGCCATATCCAAGAATCCATTTCCCATTAGTTACTTATTCACCCATTATATCATCAGAGAAAGCTTACCATGAACAGCTGTCCGTTCTGGAGATCACCAATGCTTGCTTTGACTATTCAAATCAGATGGTGAAATGTGATCCTCGACGTGGTAAATACATGGCTTGCTGCCTTCTATACAGAGGTGATGTGGTGCCCAAAGATGTTAATGCAGCGATAGCAGCAATTAAAACCAGGAGGACCATCCAGTTTGTAGATTGGTGTCCTACTGGGTTTAAAGTGGGAATAAACTACCAGCCCCCAACTGTGGTTCAGGGAGAACATCTGGCTAAAGTAGAACGTGCTGTCTGTATGCTGAGTAACACTACTGCCATTGCAGAAGCCTGGGCTAGACTAGACCATAAGTTTGACTTGATGTATGCCAAGAGAGCATTTGTACATTGGTATGTTGGAGAGGGAATGGAGGAAGGGGAGTTCTCTGAGGCAAGAGAGGATATGGCTGCTTTAGAAAAGGATTATGAAGAGGTAGGAAGAGAATCAAGCTATAGTGATGATGATGAAGATGAATATTGAACCAGGTAGTAGAGTGCAGCACACAAGTGAATTGGCGCACAATGAGCCCTGTGGGGGAGGTCCACCTGTCCCCCATGTACATCTAAATGTATAGAATCACAGGCTTCTCAGTGCCGGGGTGAAAGATCAAATGTGTTTTATTATGGTCCAAAAGACAAAACAAAGATACAATGTTTTGGCCGTCAGGCCTTAATCATGTATAATCATACATGATTAAGGTCTTATGAATGAAACGTATTTTTGTTTAGTCTTTTGAACTATAATAAAATACATTTAATCTTTTTACCCTGTACTAAGAAGCCTGTGGTTCTACTTTTGAAGATGAATATTGTATATTTTTTCCTCATACTATTCTGACACTCTCTATATTCTATACTAATGCAAGTTTTTGAAGGGGAGATGAGAAATCCATTCCTGGCTGTGCCTGGAATGAACTAGACTGCAGGACTGCCATCAGGGAGATAATACTCCGTTAAGGGGCTTCATCAAATTTTGTGACCCATATGGACCAGACCATATTGCAGAACTTGATTTAAGTGGATGAGTCTCTTTACCATTCTTCACATCTGTGCACCAGCACAGGGAAAAGTGGGAGGGGGGCAGGGGATGGATGATGTAAGATTACTTTTTCTCAGTGCTCATGAAGTGGAAGCCATGCGAGAGGTGAGGACAGGAGGATGCAGTCCACTATTTCCCGATCCCCACATGGAAAATGCCTGGCTTGCTGCCTTCTATATCAAGTGATGTTTTACGAGGAAGAAGAGTTCGCTAAGGTGAGAGAGCATATAGCTGCTTTAGAAAAGGATTATGAAGAAGTGGGAAGAGAATCAAGCTACAGTGATGATGATGATGATAATGATGAATATTGATATCTTTTACATACTATTCTCTGTACTAATGTAAGTTTTAGAATAAAACACAAGCAAACCTAGATGTACTTGCTTTCTACAAGCTAGTGAACAAAGAATAAATATATATATATTACTAACCTAGTTTGCTATATCTGTGACTTATTCTAACAGCATAAATATGTTTGAATCTTGCCTTAAATATATTTGGTATAATAAAAAAATATATATAATAAATCATATTCTGTCTTTGTTATTTAACCTGGGCAGTGCAAAAATTCAGTAAGCATGATGACCTGTAAGAAACTTTCCCTCTATTTGTAATCCAAGCCCTGGTGTTGTCTTGTAGCTGTCCTTCTGGTCTGTGGGAACGATCCCGCCGCTTGCCACCAATTGTAATGGACCGTTTAGGCAATATTCCCCTTTTTCAGATGCACAGACAGCTACTGCAAACCCACGAATTCACCAACTCCCGAACTGCAACCAAGGGAATACTTGAAACTCCCGAACTACATATCAAGTAGTGTTCCAAACTCCCGAACTAGAGACACACGAATAGCTGTTAGCAGACGAACAGGAAAAGCCCCCAAGCGGCTTACACTCCTGGCAATCAGTCTCTAACAGCATACAATAAATCCCCCCAAAGACGAGATGACACTTCGGTTTGAGGGTCAAGCAGAATCTGGTTTACTGGGGCTAACTGGCCGGCTTTTATGCAGGTCTCCCACCTGGTGGACACTCCCCTAGGGGACCAAATGGGAAACTGGGAAACATATTGGCTCTTAGCCAATCACAGACATACACCTTTAACACTCCCACAATTATATCACAATCCCTCCTCTCTGTCCTGGAGATAATTGGGGAAGTAATCCACTTATCTCCCAGGACAGAGGCAAAACTCTATTAACCTCATGGCAGTAACAATACAGTAAAAGACATAAAATTACATACAGTCACATTTATTACCTAAAACATATACATTCTACATATCCCCAGATAGCTTAGATCTGAGCGCACATTACTACCGAATGGTGCTCAGATCACATACATACAGTTCAATCGCCATGGAGCCAAAGTCTTTCCCATAGTCTTTCGTTACACAAATAGGCTCCATGGCTTAGCTATCTGAGGGATGCTGTTCATACGGCGAAACTACCGCATGAACAGTCATTCGGTTCTGCTTACCGAATGGGAAGGTAAGGAAGCTGGATGCTCAGCGGTGTTCGCGCCAATAAGTGTCCGTTTTCAGTTGCATAGTTTGGGCGCTGAACACCGCTGGCCGTTCGGGAGGTAAAATGGCCGCTGCCACGTGTTCGGCAGACGAACAAAGGCCACCCAGCGTTCATCAATTAAGCTGCGGTTAACCGCAGCTTCTGGGCAGTCAATTGACGGCACACTCCAGCTCCCAGGTGGTCCATCGTTCGGTAGTTTGTTCGGTAGATGGAATAAACCTTTCAGCAGGAAGAATAACAGCTCTGAACTGCAGGGCCATAATCTAAAGGGAGCAGGCGAGCAACCAGGCTTCTCCAGTGTACAGTGGCGAGGTTGGTTCCGCCACGCAGCCAGATAAGATGCTGATTGAATGTTTTGTTTTTGTTTTTTTGGCGAGAGATGTTGATGTTAACCCCTTCAGGACGGAGTCAATAGTACACGTTCTGATCAAAACAAAACGTAAACAAAAACTGGAAATTGCTCTATATGTCTGTTCACCCGTAATTCACCGCTGTCACATTAAGTGCACCCACACTTATTATATATCATTTTGTTCAGGAGAAACAGGGCTTTAATTTATCATTAACTATTCATATATGGAACATAATTTATTATGAGTAAAATTTAAAATAATGTGAGAAAATAATATATTTTTTAAAATTTGTATTTCCGTCTGACATTTTAGCTGTTAATGTCATAATACTGTTAGGTTTTACTGCAAACAAAATGCACATATTTGTAATCAGCGATGTCTCATGAGTACAACAGTACCCCCCATTAACAGGTTTTATGGTGTTTTGAAAAGTTACAGGGTCAAATATAGAACGTTCCATTTTCAAATTGAAATTTGCCAGATTAGTAATGTTACCTTTGAGACGTGTGGTAGCCCAGGAATGAGAATTACCCCCATAATGGCACACCATTTGAAAAAGTAGACAACCCAAGGTATTGAAGCGTGGGGTATGTTTAGTCTTTTTTAGCGAAGTAGCCACTTAGTCACAAACACTGGCCAAAGTTGGCGTTCATATTTGTTTTGTGTTAAAAAGCAAAAACTAATATTTGTAGTGTTGTGACTTTAAAGTAACTACTAAAACTTCAGACATACTTATAGCCCAGGTTATCTACAAATAGTACATGCCGATATGAGGCCAATACTGTCCCTGAGCACACTACGCACTCTCAAAAGGCAGCAATCTGGCAAATTTCAATGTCAAAAAAATGAAATGCAAGCCTTATATGTGACTCTTTAACTTTCCAAAACACAATAAAACCTGTACATGGGGGGTATTGTTATTCTCGGGAGACTTAACTAAACACAAATATTAGTGTTTTAAAACAGTAAAACATATTACAACAATAAAATAGTCCATAAAAGTGCCGTTTGTTTGTAAAAAAAAGCACAAAACGTCACTTTTACTTAAAATATCGTTGTAATACAATTTACCAGTTTGAAACATTAATATTTGAGTTAAGCGAAGTCTCCCGAGTAAAACAGTACCCCCTATGTACAGGTTTTATGGTGTCTTAGAGAGTTACAGGGTCAAATATAATGCTTGCAAATTAAATTCTCTGCACTTTCTCCCTGTGTTGTCAGGCATGTCAATCAAATTTTAATTAATCAAATCACATAATTATGTTAAAAGATTACTTAAATATACACGTAGAATTTTAATATATATGCATTTATAGGTATTTAAATTCTACGTGTATACTAATGTAATCTTTTATGTAATTATATGTATTTATCTATATATATATTTGCGGGTTATTTGTATTTTATATATATATAGATATATATAGAATGTCATTCTAAGTATATATATATATTAATAACAAAATACAGTTAGAATGAAATTACATATGAATATATAATTTTAATAAAATTTTGTTTCAATATTTTATTTATTTATTGTATTATTTTATTTATTTATTAATGTATTTATACGTATATATATATATATATATATATATATATATATAATATATGTGTATATATCTATTATATATATAATACACGTCCCAGGTCCCAGCACTCAATGCTCCCGGTCTTTTAATGCTCCGGTGCTGTCTCCTGGTATCGTATTATATATATAATATATATATATTATATATATATGTAACGTCATTCCAAGTGTATTTTAATACTAATATATGTACTAATATTAGTATTAAAATACACAACGTATGACGTTATATATATATAATATGTATATATATTATATAATATATATACATATTATATATATATATATATATATATATATAAATTTATTTAATTTATTTTAAAACTTGTCAATTTTTTTTTTTTTTACAGTTTCCACCAGCAGGGGGACTCTCTGATATTTCAGACAGCCCCCCTGCTGGCAGATCCATAGCCAGCTATAGGGGGCCTCATTCGCCAGGGGTGGGCTGTCTGGGTGGTCTGGCAGCCCTCCAGAAGAGGATCGCAGCGGAGGTAAGTAGCTGCGATTCCCTGGGGCTGAAAGCCGTTAAGGTGTTCTATGCCGCCGCAGCGGCTTTAAAGCCCTTTAAAGCCGCGACGGCATAGAACGCCGTAACGGCGTTAAGGGGTTAAGGTTAAATAAAAAAAATAAAAAAAGTTAGATCATGACCTGATAGTGAGAAATTTTCTCTGTCAGTAATTTCCCCTTGCCATGGTCTTTTGTATCAATTTGCAACTCCTTGTCCCCAAACCAGCTGGTGAGGAGCCCCCAATGAACAATACAAGACAAGGTTCAAAGTGACTTCTCAGTGTTTAATGAGCTGTGTAACAGTTTATGTTCAAGAGGAAACAGGGGTGGTCTTACAAGCATCAGGGCCGCCATCAGGGCATGACAACCGTAATGGTTGTCATGGGCCCGGCGGTCCTGGGGGGCCCGGACTGCTCAGGTCGTCCGGGCCCCACATTAAGTGGGTACATACCGGGTCGCAGGGGGCCCT